GAGAGGTTGGCAGGGTCAAGCTCGTATTGAGCAAGTGCCAAACCTTCTGGACGTTGGGGCAAGAAAGCCCACCTTGTGAAGAGACAGGAACATGAGGCAGCTACAGCAGCAACAGCAGCAGCAGCAGCGGCGGCAGCGGCGGCAGCGGCGGCAGCGGCGGCAGCGGCAGCGGCAGCAGCGGCAGCAGCAACAACAACAACGACAACAACCACAACAACAACAACAACAACAACAACAACAACAACAACAACAACAACAACAACAACAACAACAACAACAACAACAACAACAACAACAACAACAACACCAACAACAACACCAACAACAACACCAACAACAACACCAACAACAACACCAACAACAACACCAACAACAACACCAACAACAACACCAACAACAACACCAACAACAACACCAACAACAACACCAACAACAACACCAACACCAACAACACCAACAACACCAACAACAACAACAACAACAACAACAACAACAACAACAACAACAACAACAACAACAACAACAACAACAACAACACCAACTACTACTACTACTACTCCTCCTACTACTACTACTACTACTACTACTACTACTACTACTACTACTACTACTACTACTACTACTACTACTACTACTCCTACTCCTACTACTACTACTACTACTACTACTACTACTACTACTACTACTACTACTACTACTACTACTACTACTACTCCTACTCCTACTCCTACTACTACTACTACTACTACTACTACTACTACTACTACTACTACTACTACTACTACTACTACTACTACTACTACTACTACTACTACTACTACTACTACTACTACTACTACTACTACTACTACTACTACTACTACTACTAACTACTACTACTACTACTACTACTACTACTACTACTACTACTACTACTACTACTACTACTACTACTACTACTACTACTACTACTACTACTACTTGTGAGCAGGTCAAAGCATGCATGGAGTGCTTGCTTAGTGCTAGTGCAGCGTGTTGTTTTCCCTTGCATGTGTAGTTTTGCAATTCGTAACAATGCCAATGTTTTGGCTCAAGTACCGAGCTTGTGCCTTTGAGCACGGTAGTTTCGTACAGTAGCTCTTAGGTTGCTGTGCGGTCCGACCGGACGCACTCAGGCGTAGCTGCACAAGTGCTTGAACTCGCGAAGTCGTAAAACAGCGTGGCCGGGCTGTGATTGCATTGGTTTAGTGCAAGTCCAGTGCTGGTCGACTTCACAATTGGGGGCTGTTCTGGGAAGCGTACAGCTCTTGTGCCTACGGCCCTAGTGGGCAAGCATTGCTTTGCTTGTCTGTCGCGGTCCGTGACCTGGACGCGTGGACTGTGTGCCACGCTTGCGGCCTGTTAACCAAGGCGCGGCGCTTCGTGTGCCACGCCTGCGGCCTGCTAACCAAGGCGCGGCGATGTCCGCAGAGGTTGCAGGTCAGGCCGAGGGCGTCACCCTCCTCGAAGCGATCGAGGGTGGAGACGTTCCCTATCCCGAGCGGATGAGCTACGTCGCTTGGCTTAAGTGGCGTAGGGAGACTGGCAGCCGTCCGTTGTCCAAGCGGGATGGGATCAGTACTACGCCAGAGCAAGAGGCGGCTCTCTGGCGAAAGGTCATGAAGTTCCTCCACGACGCCGAAGACGAGGACGAGGATGAGGAGGAAGAAGAAGAGGACTCCGAGCTAGTCCCTGAGGCCTCGGGCGCTGGAGGTGACAGTCCGCCGCGGGTGGACGTCAGCGCCGCGGCTAGGGAGCTGGCCATGGTCCCTACCGGTGCTGCCTATGTCCCTGCTACGGCACCAGGGTCCCGCCGGGCGGGACCGTCCGGTCCGCCGTCGACAGCAGGTTCAGTGCCAGGCACCGCAGAGGGCTTACAGGCGGAGCTGCGCGCGATTTTCCGTCCAGACCAAGAACCGGTCGCGGACTACTTGACGCGCGTTTCGCGGATTGTCCTCGCGCTCAAAGCGCATGGAGTCACGGTGAGCTCCCGTGACCTTGACGCCTTAAGCACCAAAGCCACTCTCCTTGCGGATGAGTTCTCGAAGATAGGCGGGGACTGGCATCCGACAAAGATGGTCCGTCGGCTGCGGACCAGGTTCTCGGTCGCGGCTTTGCGCGGTGGCGAGGACCCCGAAGACGCAGAGGAGATTCAGCGTGAAATCCAATGCATCGGGGAGCTTATCCTCGCGCTTGGGGGAAAAGAAAGCTCGAGCCAAGAGAAGGTTTGGAGCTCTCCGTCCGATGTGCCAGTTGAAGCCGTGGGGCCGCGTTCCCCAGGGCTCCCACAGCCTGCGACTGCAAGTGGGTTGGGGGTAAGTTTGGACCGTGGAGGTTTGCACACTGCCGAGGCTGCAGGTGGTCCTTCCGCGGCCCGTGACTTGGGCGCGACGGACGGCGATTCCCCTTTGCGCGCAAAGCTCGCGGCGCTGGAGATGGAGATAGAAGCCCTGAAGCGAGGTTCAGACGGCGGAGGTTCGCAGACCGGGTCCCAAACCCGGCGGGCGATTTCGCCGCCGCACTCGCCGCCCAAACTGAAGCGCTGAAAGAAGCGTTAGCGCAGAGGGGCGGGCAAAGCTCCATAACGACGGTCAAAACCGACCTCACGTGGCCGACGCTGACCGACGACAAGTCGGACGCGCGAGACGTTGTCCTGTTCTACGAGGAGTTCGAGGACGTCTGCGCGCTCGCCAACAACTGTCGCGGTATGAGTGCGCGCGAGAAGCTGCTAGCGCTACGCGGGCGCTGCCGCGGCTCGCGCATGAAGACGTACACGAACGCCTACCGCGCAGCGTGGAAGTCGGGAGAGGTTCTCTCCGACCCACAGGCAGTGTACGACCGCATCAAGAACAAGCACTTGATGTTCGGGGAATCGCGGGAGGAAAGAGAAGTCCGCGTGGATGGTGAGCATGCCTCCCTCGCTAAGGGCAAGCTCACAGGCCACCAATTCGAGCCTTTGTTTGAGGCGTCGATCGCGGACCTTGAGGCGGTGGGTCTTGGGAAGACCCCACGAGAGTTGTATCTCTCGTACCTCCGCAAGATGCCCCCGTATCTCCAAAAGGAGATACGTAACGACAAGCGGTTGTGGCCCGGCGATCCCAAGGACGGCGGGCTGAGAGGGCCGCAGACTTGGGAGGAGAGCCACAAAGTCGTCTTGGAGTACGAACAGAGGGAAGCAGCGCACCGAGCTGTTTCCCACTCTGTGTACTCCACGACCGGCTCTCCAAGCGCGGACCCGTCGGTCGCGCTAGCCGAGGCTCAGAAGGAGATTCGGAGCCTCAAGGCCGCCGCTAAGGCTGCTGCTAAGGGAGCAGCTGCCGCGGCCAAGGCTGGCGCGGATCAGACGTTTGCCGCTGCGTCGAAGGGAGCTGGCAAAGGAGCGGACAAGAAGATCTGCTTCCACTTTCGCGACCACGGGAATTGCCCGAAAGGGGATGCCTGCCCGTTCAGCCACGACAAGGAGCTTCGCAGAAAAGCTCTCGCGGCCAAGAAGGGTGACCAAACCTTTGCTACGACGAAAGGCAAGGGCAAAGGGAAGGGAGGTGGCAAGGCAAAGGCCAGCGCTAAGCCTAAGGCTGCGGCCAAAGGCGCGGCAAAGCCACCAGGCACTGTTTGCCCCTTTTTCTCCAAGAATGGGTCGTGCAAGAAGGGGGCCAGCTGCGACATGGTGCACAACCTGACAACCTCAGGAGGGACGCCGGCCTTGCCTGCCAACTGGGCCGCGCCCTCCGGGGCTTCCATGTCCAACCCCTTCGCCGCGTTCAGCGTCCAGATAGGCAGCTCAGGCGTCCAGGCAGGCGTCTCAGGAGCCGCAGGACGCGCCGCGGTGCAGCAGCACGCGCTTCCGTTGAGCAAGGGTGGGCGGGACAAGTTCGCCACCCTGGACGATCTGCCGAAGGACTGGTGGAACCTGGCGGACAACGAGCCAGGAGGCTACCAGTACAGAACGGTAGTCCAGGTGCTCGACCGTAAGGTCGAGTGCATGCTCGACGGATGCGCTGGCGCAAACCACGTGACGGAGGAACTCGTGGTGAGCATGATGAACCGGGCTGCGGAGCTGGGGATCGGCACCGAAGATCCCGGCTTCCCGGTCGTGAGACTCGAGAAGTGGGTCCACCCCGAATATGTAGCCCCCGTTCCTCTGAAGGGGGCAGCAGTCTTGCGCGTCACGCTGCTGGAAGGCAGGACGGCGGACGACTGTCGCCCCAACACTGAAATTTTCGTGCGATGCAAAATCGCAGCCAGGGGGACGTCCGATTGGCACGGACTGATCCTCGGCGGCAGAGCATTGGACTGCGCCGGAAGGATGGGCCTGGGCTTCAGGCCGGGTCCCGACTTTCACGTCCTCGACACGCTGGGAATCAGGATGCCCAGGTGCGAGGATCACAGCAAGACCCGGAAGGACAGGGCCTACGCCTTCGAAGCGCGGTTGTCGAGCCTGGACGACGCGTCATGCACCGAGCCTGGGGGCGGAAGCCGGGAGCTCCTCCGCTACGACGGGGAAGAGCCTCTCGAGCTCTCGCCAGGCGACGGGGTGCTGGTGCCTGTCGTGCGGGAGCAAGGAGTCTCCGCAGAGGGATCCCTGTCCGAGGTAGTGCTTCCGGTGGAATGCGGGGTCGAGGCCGTACCAGGCCTTTGGCCCACAGGAGAGGGAAAGGGGTTTGTGTTGCTCGCAGCCCAAGAGTGCGATCACTCTCTCCAGCCGGGCGAGGTTGTTGCGGAAGTGCGTTCCGGCCTCGTAAGCACTGCGGCCTGTGGTTGTGGCGCGGTTGAGACGGTTTTCGAGTCGGAGCCGTCTCCGCAGGCATGTGCGGATTGTGGGGTCGCCGTTGCCTCGGTTGGCCACGACCCGTGCTTTGCTTGCGGGTCCGCGTCCAGGGCCGCGGCAAGAAGCTTCCAAGGTTGTTCCTCGTGTGCGCGGTCCTTTGGGCGGCTGCGTACCGGCGCCAGGATCGGTGTGCTATCGGTCCTTGCTGCGGTGA